ACACACACACACACGCACACACACTCACACACACACACACACACACACACACATATATATATATATATATATATATATATATATATACATGTACATATAATCTTATGTAATAGTTTTCTATTGAAGTAACAATATTGTAGCACTATAATGTATTATTAACTTACTATGGTACTATATAATGCTCTACAATATATAACATATAGTAAATATATAGTAATATAATGGCTAATACTATACAATATATGATACTAATTTAATGTAATACTTTATAGTATAATATAATACATATTATATTATACTATGACCATATATAATATTATATACAATAAAAATATATAATTTACAAATGTAGGACCGAAGGGAGAGGGCCAAGATGTTAGGTGCCCACCTTCGTGGGTAAGGGCTGCCTACGCGGGGCGCCTAGAGACCCCTCCGGTCCCTCAGTCTAGGGTGCCTGCCTAGGGTCACGCCTAGGCATTTTTAAAGCCTAGGTGGTCAGGCGGCTGACATTTTCAACATTGATTAAAATTTCAATAAAATTTTCCATCCCCTTTACAATGGACACATAATTGTATGTTTACAAGCACTGGAACTCTAAAATTAACTTGAGATCCAAGTAAACAATTTAAGACTCTAAAATACCCCTAATAATAATACGATACCAAAAAAAACTCTTAAGTAATCCTAAAATTCATGTAGGTATATACTTTAAACCAAGATTAGAGGCCCAAAACAGCAAATTAATGAAAACAAATCCTAGAAATAGCCTTTGTAGATAATTGAGAGATCTTTGCATTGCAACTTGAAGCACAATGATAGGTTACACTGATAAAAAGTTATGATCCTCGGTAAATGACTAGATTATTCGCCCCTTTCCGGAAAGAACTCATCCTCAAGTTTGCTATGAGTTGCTCCTTTTTTTATATTGATGTTCTACATGCTTTGTGTACCTTTTGTACTTTTGACTTCACTTGTGGTAGTTGGTGTAGTTCCACCACGCTGTTTGGTTCTCCTTCATTGGATCCCCATATAATATTATGTTGTGGGGTTGAATGAAATCTTCACAAATAATAGTTGAAATTCATTAGAAAATTCTTTTAGAATAGGGTCTTCATGTTTGATGCTTTAAAATCTTTAAAATCCTTCTCATAATAAAAAGTAAGATTTCCATCAGATACCTCTTTGATCACTTGTTCTTCATATGGTTCCTTATCACATATAGGCTCACGAATTTTGTCAATAAGTGGTGATTCAATCTTGCAATCCAAAAAGACACCCGTAAATGGATTCTCTTTTGAAGGTTGTTGGAAACTATCCATGAAAGTGTAAGGTAGTTGGCACAAGTCGCATGCAACTCATACTCACTCAACATGCCTTCCGGGTTTGCAGCTCGATGGATAACCAGATCCATCAGTGGATCCAACCTTTGAGTCAAGCCTGTCATCAATTGCACAACTCGGATCTTGAGGAATTTGTGCAGCTCTCGGATCTCTAATCTGGAGCAATGAACCCTATTCTGGTACGACTTTGATTCAACAAGATCGAAGAAAGCAAAAAAATCTCAAAAGAAGGAGGGCGCAATGACCAAGCATTACAGTTTTCGAACTCAAAAGTTCAATTACAATTTCAATAAAATTTCCCATCCCCTTCATAATGGACATATAAAGTATATTTATAAACACACAAAACCCTAAAATTACCTTGAGTAAACAATTTAAGACTCTAAAATATCCCTAATTATTAAAAAAAAACTCTAGGTAATTCTAAAATTCATCACTATTTCAGGCATACACTTTAAACTAAGATTTGAGGCCCAAAACAACAAAATTATAGAAAAAAATTTAGAAATAGCCTTGTAGATGATTAAGAGATATTTGAATTGGAACTTGAAGCACTGCAATAGGACACGAGTGAAAAGTTAGGATCCTCGGATATTGACTGCATCACAATCATGCTCTGTTTTGAGGCTTTCTTGTCCTTTGCCACTGTGCTTGATCCACGCATTGATTGTGTGGCATTTGCGGTCACCTTTACATGTTAGGTGATGTTTGAGCAATTAAGCCGGTTGATACCGGCAATTGCGATGCATTTCCTTCTCAGCGAATACACCTTTGAAAGTGTCCTTCATTGTGGAATGTACCCTCTCCCATGATTGCGAAGCTGGATCCTAATTCCCTTACAATATAGTTAAGGCTTTGGTAACTAGCCTACTACTCACTTGAAATCTTGGAACCAGTATTGCTGAAACTTAGAAGTTGAATTACACTAGTAGCAATGTCTAGTTATGGGTGGGCTGGCCCCATTCGTGGCCTAGCCCTGCAGGCACAGCCCTAGCACTGGCCCATGTAGGACCAATGGGTCTGGGCCCTGGCCCAGCCCTTCCTTTGTGTTTTGGCTTGGCTGGACACTTCAAACCTGTGCAAGTTTTCTCCAACGAAGCACACCTTTTTTCCGTTTCAGTTCAAGTATGAAAACAAATATTGCTTTGTTGCTCACACAAGTTCCAATATCTCTTTCTTAAAACATAAAAAGTAATTCATTAAGAAATAAATCAGACCCCAACTTACCTAGTCCTATGTGACTCCTAATTCGCCGAATATCCCTAAAAATCCTAAAAATATAAAAAAACCCTAGGATCCCTAAGACAGCTAAAAAATATGAATGAAATTAAAATTTAAATATTTATCGTTTGAAATTAAATAGAAATAAAAGATACCTCTAATTTTATCCTAAATTTGGCTCCCCTGTTGAGAGAAACTCATCCTCGAGTTTTGAAGTGGCTAGGATGACTCCTGCCTTAAAGCCATGGTCTTTTTCAACCTTGAAGGCCTTATCACGATCCTTAATACGATATTCAAACTTTCCCATCTCTAGATACTCAACAACTCGATGGGATATGTCTTTGTGATCAATCTTCTTATTTATGAATAACAAATAAGATATGTGTTCCTCATTAACCTCCATACCTTTCTTATAATTCTTGATCACATTCTCAAAATCCTCATATGTCGCAGTCCCAGCCTCCCCCCTTTGTGCCTCCTCCTTCCTCAACTTCTTCTTGCTTTCTTCCTCTAATTTTCCGTAGGTTCTAGCTCCTTTGTGTTCAACTTTACCTCTTGCCTCTCCTCCTCTCCATTGATGAAGACATTTGAAATCGTCGCTACCTCAGGGCCAACTTCTTTCCTTTCATCTTGTTTTTCATCACAAGACCTATATCAAAGATGGAGTCAGCTTTGACATCAAGGAATGGTGATTTCAATTGAAAATCCAATCCTACATGTTCTTCACCTTCCAGTTGGTTCTTCAACAAAAGATCGGACCATCCATGAGATCAAAGTGATTTTCAATTGGAAGATCAAAACCCCTTACCCGGTTGTGGAAAAGATTCTCATTGAACTTTGAAACATCTCCAGACGGGACATGCAAGTCGCAAACGGGTTGATCGGGTTGTTGCTCAATGCAAGGCTTGATTTTCTCGCACCATTTGATTTACTTGTCTCCGTAGCTCTTGGATCATGGCAATTTTGGCTTGATTGTGCCTTCCTCTTCCATGTCCTCTAGTTTTCATGGTGGATCAATAAGCTTGCTCTGAGAATGCTTTGATGCAGCAAAAACAAAGAGGAGACAGATAGAGAGAAGAAATTCCAGCCAGAAAAAAAAGAAAAAACTAAATCAAGCGCAACACACCTAGGAAAAAGTACAAGCTTTTTTTTTGTGTTATGTATCAGCTGCGCAAGCTTTCTTCAAGGAAGCTCACTTTATATCCTGTTAATTCAAATCTGAAAGACAATATTCCTTCCTCACCCACATGAGGTCCAATATCTCTTTTAATAAATAAAAAAATGAACTGACTATGAAATAAATCAAACTCGACTTACCTAGTCTGGCATGATTCCTTATAAAGTACTCCTAAAATTCTGAAAATTTAAAAGAAACCCCATAATCCCAAAACAAAACTTTAACAACTGTAAAATTGAACCCCAACATATCAGTTCTATTGCTGATACATCCAAACTCGCGATTCAAAGAGGTTGGGGCCTCCAATCTTTGAAATGGATCTGCAAATAGGACAACCATCAACTCTTAACATTTTGAGGAAGTTGGAAATCGGATCTAGATTATCTGAAGGACACAAAGCCTTAAATGAATCCACAAAGTGAATCCGAAATTCCAAAAAATCAGATGCTTTCACTTGTTTGTTTCAATAAAAGGAGGTAGGATCTGAGATGGGGAAGTGGGCTACAATCCTTGGGACAGCCCTAAAAAACACCTCCAGTCGTTGGAAAAGTGACACTGAAGTTTCATATTTAAGGTGGTAAAAAAAGGTGTAAAAGAAAGTGATTGGATTCGCCAAGTCCCTCACGACTGGTTCAGGACTCTGGAATCGGGCTGATTTTGTCAAGGGACCATGAAGTTCATTCTCTGTAGTCTGTACAATAACTAGGATGGCTTTGTCCAGCACCCCCATCGAGTTGGGGATCCTACATAACTGGAACCTCTTCAGGCTAGGTGGACTCGAGCAAGTCCTGTTTTTCCTCACCTGTTTTTAAACACTGTATTGAACCATTTTTGACCAAACCAACTTCTCTTAAACTTTTTTCTAGTGCATCCAAGTTCATGCTTGTCCTTTCTTTGTTTTGTTTAAATCAATTTGGATGAAAGTTTCAACACGAATTTGGACATTGCAGTCCTATGAAAATTATAATATTTGATTGTTAATATTTACAGAAGATTGTCTATTCGGAGACATCTGATACTTTCAGTGCACAGAAAAGATCAAAAAAATATTTATAGAAGATTGGCTTGTTTTATGATGGAATGTTTCCCTTAAATTTCTCTAATCTTGTCATTTTTCACAAGTCCTAGTTATTGAACTCATAACATGGTCTGACATCTTGTCTTCTATTAACTTGTGTTCACATAAAAAATTACAGCTTCTGGAGAAGCAGGAAGCAGAGTTTCGGTCTCATTGTAAACAGAAGCGCTCAGATCTGCAAGATGAGGTTATCCGAGTTGAGAAAGAAGCCCCGAACAATGGTGAAAGTGAATCCGACTCTTGTGACATGGATCCTCTCATCGATGTGGCATCACGAAAGCTAGATGCAGCACATAGAGTAATACTTTTCTCCTGAGCTTCCTTGCATAAGTTTGGTACTATAATAAAATGATTGACTTCTTTGAACCTCAGCATTTTTCATTTTTATAGATACAATCTCCATTGATATTTGTTTATTTATGTGCTACTTGTATGTCCTCATCAATATTTATTCATTTGTGTCTAGCGTTCCTACTCTAAACCTTTATTTTCAAATTTTTTATGGATAATAGAACAAGGTATGAAACTATAATCCCTTTCTTAGTAAAGGAAGACATACTCGCACTAGGCTAATAGCATGATATCTCACACCCCAACCATTTCCACTGCACTAGTTTATTTAGTATTGTTAACTTTGCTCCTGACGCCGACCCTAAATAGTTGGAAAAAGGTTCTCTCATATGATGATGATAAGGATGAACTCTCCTCTTGATAGAATTTGCTTCCCGAGGCACATGAATTGCATCTATTACACAAACAGAAAAGACATTGGTCTTTCGGACTCGTTGATTGTCCTCGATCATCGTATTGTACCACCTCTAGTGGCAAAATTCATTCCTTTGAGAACTGGTTCAATCTTATTGATTTTTGCTGAAATTTTTTTAAGCTTGGATGTTGATTTCTGTTAATGTTTCCATACCAAACTGATGTCAGTTATGTTAGGATCATCATATTTGAAGTGCTTTGATTCTTGCTCGTGTGTAGTTTCCATCTATGATTGGATACATCTCCTTCATTTTCTGTTGTTTTAACTTTAAAACCGTGGTTTTATTTCCATGTATATCCTAATCAACTTTGATTTTTAGTGAGTTATTGAGTTCTATAAATGATAAATCTGTGTGTTCTCATAGGATTTTTCTGTTAAGATGAGGGCAATATCTTTGCTAAAGAGGAAGGTTGATGATGTACCTTCACAAACAGAACTTATCCAGTAAGTGCAATACATCTTAGAGTATCGGAAATTTCTAAATCTCAGTATATGCACATTCTTAATATTTATTTAGTTCTCTAAATTCTCTTCAATAGAATTATACATAGTCCATCTTTTCTAGTACTATGCTTATGATGCAAAAAGGAGTCCGGGAAATTAAATCTGGTCTTTTTTCGATCTTAAACAAGCAAAAATTCAACAATATTGGAGGGGAAAATATGGCTGTAAATCAAGCCATAGAGAAGAAGAAGCTTTATTTTTTCATTAATCAAGAAACTCTCTGCAAAAATATTCCAGTCTCCCTCAATAGGGCGTCCCCCTTCCTTTTGGTACAAGCCATGAAAAATAAAATAAAATAAAATTGAAAAGATATATATCTTTCTATCCCACTACAAAACTTTTAAGAAATATTTCCCCTCCTTTTTAAATTTCGTACCACCTATGTACTTAATCTCTAACTCTCCTAATTTCTCTCTCATCAGATCCACTTTTCTAGGATCCCTCTCCCAACACCATGTCTCTCTTTCACTCTCTCTTTCTCTCTCTCTCTCTCTCTAATATTCACGTGGTTGCCCATCCAACAATAGAGGAATGTTGCATCACGTGACTTTCCCGCATATTACCTTTCCTAAACCTATTATCTTCCCCACAAATAAAGCTCTCTACATAAATCGAAGCTTTTCCCAACTATTAAGGAAAAGATCACGTTTACCCAAAAATAACATAAAACTTCCTAACTACCCAAGACAATTAATAAAACTCCTTTTAACCCCTTCATTCAATAAAATATAAAAAAAATCTACCCATATCCCTAAAAATTAAAGTTTAAAAAATAAATATAAAAATGTGTCAATCAATTTAATTCTTGCAAACCTCGATGCAATTTGCATCATACTCCCCGGGTTGGAAAAAAAACTCGTCTCAAGTTTTTGCTGCGGCATCATCGACTTCCCTTAGTTGATGGTGAAGTCCAACATCTCCATGCAAATGTTCAGGCATGAGATTGAACACTCTAAACTCTAAAGAATGAAGAAGTTCTCCATCCACCTAGCCAATTCCAGGACAAACATCCAAACACATTCAAATATGGGTCTACGGAATATGCTTTTCGACTAATTGTATCGGCCAATTGATTCCTTATGAAAGAAATATTTTTATTCCAACCGGCTTCTTCTTCTAAGGCTTCTTCTTTGTCTTGAACTCTTGTGATAACCATGCCTTGAGTTGTATGTTATCAATTTGCTTAGAAGGTTGCAACTCCTATTGTAGATCTGACATGAGCCTCATCATTTTATTGTATCTCATTCCAAAGAGGCAAATTACTATCAAAACATGCAGCTTTCAAGGTAGTTGACATGGTTTTGCTAAAGCCTGTGTAGCCAACTATCACATCAACCGTCTTAGAAAGTTTGTTAAGGGGTGAATTTCCTTGTGTAATTTTTAGAAAAAATTTTCTTTGCAATGATAGCATAAAAATCACATAACCATATTTGGTTTTAGCAATTATTGAACCCTTGTTTTGTGGAGAATAATAACAGGGAAAAACTGGGTGAGTTTCTGTACTTCCCCCTTGAAAGTTATCACCAACGTCCTCCTTGCATTCTCCAATCATACAACTGGCATGTGTACAAATACTTTGTCGATCAACACCAAGGCTTCAAGCACACATCCAATAAACCCTTCCCATTCACATCGCAAACCAAAACGTAGATGCTTAAAACTCATATGATTGTGCCCAAGCTGACAAGTTTCCCCAAGGAAAAATTTTAACACATCAAGATAAATTTTCAAAACATGCGTGGCACATGGAGATGTTATCTCTACAGTGGCAAGATCATTGTCTCGTACAATAATTTTCTCAATCTCTACATGAGCACCTTTCATGTTATTTCCCATGGACATCAAGACTTTGACTGTAAAACCAGTCCCTTCACTTGTGGGGCCATATAAGATTTGTTTAGTTCCAACAAAACTGACAAAGAGATGACTCATATCTTATTGTGCACGGACAATAACTTCATTCACCCTTTTAATAAAACTCTCAAACAATTTAATAACTTCTTTCATGAGCCAAATGCCATCAGATGGTTTCCGTACTTGTCTAGGAGGCTTTTTTTCTAGGTAAATAACATCAAAGCTAATTCTAGTGCATTGAACAAACATCAACATACTCCCAGCGCATATTATCATCCCCACATTTCTTGAACATCCCAAATCAACAACATTAATAAGTAGATGCCACACAAAATGATGCTGTTTAAACCATACTTCAAAGATTTCACACCAATTATGATATGGTTTCAATAAACAACCAAACCATCCAAATTTATCATAACCATTCCACACATCATGGTTAGGCTTTTTCAGAATAGACAACTAATCACAACTCACCATGTTCATACCAACACTCTCATCACCTCTATTAGACAACTCCAATGCCTACACATAATTTTTACTACTGGCAACAATATTAACCACATCATCAACTACAATTTGGATATCATCAACTTTTTCCTTTATACATTACCGAATAGAGAATTGAGCCACACCCTCCTCTTTAAAAGATTCAGGTGGAGTCTTATCACTTAATGGCAACAAAGATAGTTCATGTCTAACCATCGACAATTTGTTTCGAATAAAAACCACTATCTTGGTTTTCTCATCCAATCCCAAATCCCATTTCATTGTAGTCAGGGGTTGCTCTTTCATGTTCACAAGGAGGGAATCATTTGAAAATCCAATTTTGTCTTCAACAGAATTAATGTTAAACATTCACAGTTCATTCTGATTGATACAATGCTGAATTTTCTCATTATCAGATTTAGAATTATCCATAATTTCATCAATAAAAATGCTAGGCATATCCCCAATTATCTTTTCCTTTTCAGCAGATTGATCTACGAATACATCTACTATTTTCTTACTAGATTTAGGGCCTTTTGTGTCTTTCAATGCATCAACATCTCTAGTGAAAAACTTAGGATTTTCATTGTTCAAGAAATCACATAGCTTTGTCTGTTTACTTGTGTGATGCTCAGGTCGTAGATTTGTTATAGGGATAACAACTCCCCGGGTTAGAGATGTCGGTCCCGTAGCCTGGGATGATCCTGTACCAGGGGTGGATCTGGATGTAGTAAAATTCTTTATTTGCTCACTTCTAAACTGATTTCGGTCTACTCCCCTATGCCAATCATATCGGCTTTGGGGTAGTCGGTTACCCAACTTTTCTATGCATTCATGTTCCCGTTGATGCCGTCGTGCATCTAACCCATAAGTGCGATCAAGCATAACACCAGGCCGTTCCCTCAAAAAAAAAAGAAAACACCAGGCCATTCCCTCTCAGACTCGTGCTTTGATTTGTGCTGATTTCCACTATAACTCGCACAATATGGATCTAAAACTGTAGATCTCATCTTATTCGATGTATGTTGTTGCGATCTTTGTTTCTGCAACAACTTTTCAACCATCTCCGTCAAGTTGTCGATTTTCTTGTATATTTGGTCATGCTCGGCAGTCCCTTTGGTTGCGACTTCCATGACCATCCATCGTAGTCACTAACCCTTTCGAACCATGCTCTGATACCAAATGATACAAAAAGGAGTCCGGGAAATTAAATACTGGAGGAAAAAATGTGGCTGTAAATCAAACCATGGAAAAGAAGAAGCTTTCTTTCTTCATTCGTAAAGAAACTCTCAGCAAAAATATTCCAATCACCCTCAATAGGGTGTCCCCCTTCCTTTTTGTACACGCAATGAAAAATAAAATAACATGAAATTGAAAAGATATACATCTTTCTATCCCACTACAAAACTTTTAAGAAATATTTCCCCTCCTTTCTAAATTTTGTACTACCTATGTTCTTAATCTCTAACTCTCTTGTTTTCTCTCTCCTTAGATCCACTTTTCTAGGATCCCTCTCCCAACACCATGTCTCTCTCTCTCTTTCTCTCTCTCTACTATTCACGTGGTTGCCCGTCCAACAATAGAGGAATGTGGCATCACATGACTTCCCCTCATATTACCTTTCCTAAACTTACTAACTTCCCTACAAATAAAGCACTCTACATAAATCTAAGCTTATCCCAACTATTAAGGAAAGGATCATGTTTACCCAAAAATAACATAGAACTTCCTAACTACCCAAGACAATTAATAAAACTCCTTTTAACCCCTTCATGCAATAAAATATAAAAAAAACCTATCTATATCCCTAAAAATCAAAGTTTAAAAAAAAAATAAAAAATGTGTCAATCAGTTTAATTCTTGCAAACCTCGATGCAATTTGCATCAGTTTACAAAGCCATGCCCAAAAGAAACTTACACTATTTATTCATGTTTACGAATTATAATAGATGCCACTGTTACCCAAATCTCTTACTGAAGGTCGCGATTCCGATTTGGAACCCTGATTCCGAACCCGTTCCAGTGAAGGTTTACGAATTATAATAGATGCCACTGTTACCCGAATCTTCACGGAACCCGTTCCAGTGAAGTCCAGAATTTTGATTCCTTATTTTAGGAATCTCTATTCCAACTCTTATAGAATCTCGTTTCCAATATTTATTGATTTTTGATACTGCAATTGGTGAATCTCTATTCTACACATGTTGAAACTAGTTTCCACATTTATCGGAATTCTACCACTTTTATCGGAATTCTAAGAAGTTCAAAAGTTTTCAAGGCATCAAACTTCTCGAGCTAGACACTCAATCTCAAACTAAAAAGGTGTAGTCATCTTTATTGGCGACCAATAGAAACCAAAGTGGTGGCCCACGTTCTCTACTTAATTCTTTAGGTATGCATTGTATTGATCCAATGGAGAGATTGTAACTCCAAGATGTTAGAAATAATGTAAACATTCATGTATGGTAATGTCCATCAATGAATGGTGTTGAGACATGTATTGTTTCCCTCTCAGTTCCCACTCGATTCTAAAGATGTCGGAATCTCAATTCTATAAATGAAGGAATCTCGATTTCATATTGGTTGATTTCAACTAAATTGGAAACTCGATTCCAAAGAGATCAGAATCTCGATTCCATCTATGTAGGGATCTCGATTATATTTTGGTCGAATCTCGATTCTTAGAAATAGGAATCTTGTCCCCCTCGATTCCTCTTGTACTGATGTTGACCTGAAAATAAGTATCTCCCAACTTGCAGCAATTCCGTGCTTCCGATTTCTAAGTCGATTCGGTTTCCGAATCGCTTCAGGTAGCTATGATAGATGCACTAGGAAAAAACTAGGCATCATGATTGAAGTCAGCATAATTCCACCCTGACTTATTTTTGTCATTGCCTGGCAAACGAAGTAAGCCATGTTTAAAAGCGAACTGGGATAGAGGAAAAGAGTAATTATATGCCGAAAGTCTCAAGCATTTTAATAAAGTCCACCACCCTAGAGCAAATTCCGTACAAACATAAAGATTTGCATATGTACCTACCTACATATCTGCATATGTAGATATGCATGTACATACATGCATATGTATTTTAATATACACATGCATGCATGCACACCTGTGTGTGCGGATCAGATCATCTCACCATTTCCTTTTCAACGGGGTTTAAAACACTGACTCGGGTCAGGACTTTCTGGGTTCAAGCCTGACTAGGTGGATCAAATTTGCCGAGTCTCTAACATAACTCAATTTAGAAAGAAACAGTAAATGGTTAAAAGTTCTGATCCTTAGAGTGCGTATTGTGGTATTGCCAGGGGAATGATCAGTGCCCCAAGGCAAGTTGACTGGGTGGAGTCCCTAGTCAATTCACTAGGTTCTAAGACATTGCTTCCAAGAGATGAGAAGGCAAGGAGTCATCTCTTGGAAGCAACGAAACCATGGTCCTATATATTCTTCAGCACGAATGCCCAACTTTGAATTGGCTCAGTGGTAAAAATACCACAACCTATCCAAAGCTCCTGGAAAACAACCTAATGTAGCTTTTCCAATTCTAAATTGTCAAAATATCCTTAAAGAACAATCCGAATGCCTACGTATACCCTTTGGAGCCATAAGCTGACACGTCTAGGTACCCAAAAACCCATGCCCTTCATAAATTTAACCAAAGTAGGTCAAAACCCTATACCATCTAATGTGAGCTTTCTAAAGGTTCAGGAATTCCTAAAATCTGAATTCGCATTGAAAACTATTAGTGATCTAGTGAATAAACCCATAAGAAATAAATATCAAACCAGTCCCTGCGCATACATCTTGTACCATATCAACCTTAAGATGTGCCCTCCCCCACCAATTTTGTGCAGTCTTTTGCAAGATGTTAAGGTCTAGGCCTTTCACAAAAGATCTGTTGCTGAAATCCGGTGGGCGTGAATCTATGGAGAAACTTCTAGATGCCTCTGCATATTGGATGCAGATCCAGTGGAACCTCTAGCCAGATCCCCTTTGCATATTGTATGCATTTTCATTCTCATCTAGAAACCTTAGATCAGAACCTCCGTCTATATAAGCCCTGCTACGGAAGAGATTAGGGTCCTGGTCGCCCTAAATTTTTACTCTCTAAACTTGAAGCCTTGAAGCCCTAACCGTAGCTACCGTTCATGTTTTCCTACAAAACCCTTAACTAAACCTTAAGCTATACCTCTCTTAGTTTAGAAACTCAAGGTATGTCACCTTAGACATCTACCAACTTTCCTTTGAATTGACAGGTTGGTGTTGATTCATCTCAATGCTTAGAAACTAGTAAATTGTAATGCTTTTGTTTCTAATTTTGAAGGAAAATAAGATGTTTTGAACGATGGTAGGATAAGTAGAAAGAGTAGATCAATGATGAAAGCAAGCAAAATAAGGTTAAAATAGCAGAACCAGAAAATAATAAATACCTCATTGGGCTACTGTGGGCCCAACACCTGGTGCATGCAGACCTGGATGAGCTTAGTTGGATGTTGGTTAGAATACCTATGCTAAGTTGCTTTCCTTGGTTTTGGTGCTATTGGTAGGTTTTGGCTTCTTCACTACTGAATCCAATTCAAAGTTGGGTGTTAACAAAAACATGTTATAGTGATCACTGATATTAAATCCTTATACTTCCTTAAATGATATTTTCGTTCATATCTATGTTTTTAATTTACCTTTATATATACCATGAATAATGCATTTTCGAAATGATTCATACCATGTGGTAGCATCTACCAAGTTTTTGGTCATCTTCTTGTTTTATTCTAAATTCTAATGTGAACTCTGCTAGATATGAAAGAAGGTTCGCTGAACTCTTTGGGCAAATCCAGGTACAAGATTATCTTTTGTGATCGAAAGTATTATGATAATCACTTATAAGTTATTGCCCAACTCAGGGGAAATATTTGTACCATAATTATGAACTGACGCCGTAATATGGGCATGACTTGTGTAGGATAAGCTTCGACAAACTCGTCGATATTATGGTACTTATAATGCGCTGATAGAGACAAAGGAATTGTCATTAAAGGAAATTTCATTATTGAACTCAATAAGTTCACAGGTATGTCAAATTTATTATAGGAATGGTCACTATAGATTTCTTGAGCATTCTAGCTAGTGTTTGAAAAAAGATTGATTCGGATCAGAATCGGCCTCTCTAGATCAGGAATTGTTGGGAGCCCACCCGGTTCCTAGTCAGAACCGTGGATCAGGTCAGTTGCCGAGGGAATCAGCTAATTCTTTCAGTGAACCAGGTGATCCGGTTCGTCTGGTTCCCACATTTATATTTTTTAATTTTTTCATTTATTTTTTATTGACTGATTCTCACCTAGGAGAATCTGTCAGATCACCAAGCTAGATCCGCGATTTGCTGATCAGACATGTTTCCCAGATGGCTGGTTCAGCCGGCCTATCCAGGTTTTAAACACTGATTCCAGCACTGTAAATTTGTGTAATGAATATCTCAATAAATTACAAGTTTATCAAAAATGGAAGTAGCAGAGAGCCTTGTCAAAATATTTTAGGGCCTGTATAAATTTATGTGGGACCCACTCAATTGAGTATTTGGCACAGAGCCCACAATGTATTGGTCCCATGTATATGGAAAATACCTTTTTACGGGATAAGGGCAAAACTAAATGGTTTTGCCCTTATTCTGAGTATAGCGCTTTTCTATGGTGGTTATCTGCTCCATGCAAACCCACCCTTGCCTATTGGAATGTGACTATGGAAAAACAAGCTAGCCTTGCTGTGGTCATTGCACTAGAATGGATTTATCTTATGAGGAGAATTCAATTGTGTGTTATAAAAATAAAATCACTATAAATAATTGAAATCTGTCATGAGTCAATCATTATTTCACATAATTTTTGAAAGGTGGGTATCTCCACTCGATTAGGTCCATTCAAGTATACGAGATTTTTTCTTTCTTGAGGGGTATTTTATGTGATGTGTGTTGGTCTTGAAAGCAATTAAAAATTATGGATCAATGCAATGGAAAGAACAAAAAACTTGAACATATTTATCATGTATGATGAGCAATCATCATACATGATTTTGAATTCTTTTGAATATAATTGACATATTTGTCTGGTAGTTAGATTCATCGATGAATCACTCATTTGTATGCAGTTAGGGGTGTTTGTGATCATTCCATGAAATAGAGAGAATTGTTCTCAGTTAAAAATAGTAAAGAATTTTAATTACTAAAAGAAACTATGAAGCCAGATGAGTTGGAAATAGAGAGGTTTCCTCTTTTCGCGGATGTTCTTGAAATTTACCTAGTTGAAAAGAGGGGTTTCCCTGTTTTGCAAATAGTGTTGAATTTCACCATTCATTTCTATATCAGGCTCTGATCATTGAGGTTTATTTCAATTTGATGTAACAATATAATTTTCGGACTTCTTATGTAGTTTCAAAATGCCATGGCTAGTGCAAATGGACGAAGCAAACTTATTGATTCCTTCGAGGATATTGCTAAGGGAACTCAGCAAGTAAGTTTCTGCACATCATTGCTTAAAGGTAAAAGTTTATATAGAGCCGAGGCTCTAAACAATCAAATTCGAGCCTTCCTCAAAAATTTCACTAGAAGAGGTTGTTTTGATACCCAAATATCTTCAAATTGATCATCTCGACATCAAGATGCATGGACATGAGAAAAAAATGGATTTAAAGTTTTGGAAATAGTGTACTTTGTAACGCATTTTTGGACCGTCAATTTTCAAGATTTTCAAGTTTTCATAGATCTCTCGATCTAAATTATTTGTGAAGCTTTAAACTTTATAAATAAAGATGAAAATATATTTGAAGGCTAGCAAAAAGATTTAAGAAACCACATTTCTTGACTCTATTTGAAGGTAGGCTCGAATTTGATTGTTTAGAGCCTAGGCTCTATACAAACCGTACCCTCGCTTAAAATACACTTTTTTTTTTATTGTGTGGAGGTTTTTTTTTTTTTGGTATTTTTTTTGGGGGTTGGTGGGGGGTTTGGGTTTTGTTGAGTTTGAGTCAGGACCAGTTTAGGAAAAATCGGGCAGTTCAAATTCTAATCGCCCGGTTTTTGTGAGCCGGCCAGGCATTTTTAAAAAAATTCAAAAACATTATATGAAATTCAAAAAAATAAGGGATTTTGTTTGTAATGCATTTTTTAATGTTTTTCATCATTTTGGCAAAGATTGTAAATTGTTTTGGCTATTAATACTTATTTTTACATTTTCCCATCTGTTTGGATAATTTCATAAATACCCCTGAGCACAAATCGATTCTTTAAAATCCATTTTTTTCATTAATTTTCAACTCCATTTGAATGTGTTTTGTTAAATAATAATTTAAATATACTTTTCGTATTTTTATTAAATTTTTTATAATTTTTTTAACACTTTTTTTACTGCCCGAGACTTTCCCGGTTAAGCCGGTTGAGCGGCTTCCGGTCCCATGTGTGGTTAATTGTTCTGGTTTGATTTTTTCTACACTGGTTAGGACACAGAAGCCAAAGCCTTCACTAGTAATATGCGCAAACATGCATACATGCTTACATGCACACTAACTCACCATGTTAATAAGCCATCCAAAATCTGCTACCCCTGTCATCCTCTCGAGAATTAGAGTGATTAGTATCTCCACTCTTTTTGAAAATCTCTTTTAATATCGATAATATATTTAAAAAAAATGGTGGTTTCTTGAATATTACATTATTTGAGTTCATTTGAACTGAGTTGAAAATTTACTAGCAGGTCTAATCCTTAGGTGGTTCCTGCCATCTGCTAGAACTATGTTTATGCAATTGTTTTCAGTGAACTCTATAGGGTAAATCTTGTGTTTTCCATTGTTTTTTACGTAGTCCAAATTTTGACACCTTACATTTCCTTTTAAGCAAGGAATACTGTTCAAATGTCTTTGCGTGGATTTTTATGTGTTTTCATGGAGAGAGAGAGAGAGAGAGAGAGAGAGAGAGAGAGTAGTC